CACCTCAGCTTGGCAAAACACACACATATTATTTGCTGAAACAGGTAGCACCCCAATCCTCTGAAGGAAGGTTGCAGTCTATATTCTGCTTCTCCAAGCCAACCAACAAAGGAACTGCATTTTTGGCGGAGCTAAACCGACCCATACCTCTTTAGGCACAACCTGACCAGTCCCTATTTGAGCATCCCACCATCTTCTCACCGAAGAGACAAAAAAAGGCCTGAACTATTTGCTAACCAAAAGGAAGAGTCAACACAATCAAACCTCAGCACTGTAGATGTATCCAACAACTCCATCAATCTCTACAGCTCTTCAGCTTCCCATACAAATAACTGCCTTCTAAATTTAAGCTGCCACAGCCCCATATTACTCTTCTTAGCACTGATTTGCTGAAGGGTCTCCTCTTTCTCAGTGGATAGACTATAAGCCTAGGGAATTGAATCTTCAGGTCACTATTGTTAAGCCATTTATCCTGCCAAAACAAGATTCTCCTTCCATTTCCAACCTTAATTCTAAAATGCTTACCATAGAAATCCCCCAATTGCTGATTTTCTGAGAGCAATTTCACAATGTCCAACCAGACTATGGACATCCCACCTGAAGAGTTCAGATCTGGAAGCCAACCTCCTCCATTCCTACCATACCTTGAACAAACCACAGTTTTCCATAAAGCTGAATCTTCATTACCATACCTCCACCACCACTTCAATAGCAAGCATTCATTCACCTCTCCTAAGTCTCTCACACCCAAACCTCCTTGACTTTTACTACTTGTGATCTCCTTCCATTTGACCAAGTGCACTTTCCTTTTATTAACATTCCCTCCCCACAAAAAAGATGACTTCAACTTGACTAAGGCTTTAACAACACCCTCAGGCATTCTAAAGAGAGAAAGAAAATAGATTGGCAAATTAGCAAGGACTGACTTGATCAAGGTCAATCTCCCAGCATAGGAAAGAAGCTTCTTCTTCCAAGAGGCCAGCTTTTCTTGACCTTCTGCACAACTGGGTCCCAAGCACTCTATTTCCTAGGATTAGCCCCTAAAGGGAGACCAAGGAAAGAAAAAGGTAATTTCTTAGTTAAGCAATTCAAAACCCTAGCAAACTCCTTAGATTGATCTTCTTGGAAGCCCACACCACACACTATGCTTTTATGATAATTAATTCTTAACCCAGACATCACTTCAAAACATCTCAACGCCCTCTTAATATTCGAAATATCCTCAATATCCCCTTCACGGAATATAATAGTATCATTAGCAAATTGGAGATGCGAAACACTCACGTCATTGGAACCAACAGTAGAACCCCTACATAAACCCAGTACTTTAGCCCTAGCAAGTAGCAAATTAAGCCCTTCTGCAGCAATAATGAACAAGAATAGAGAAAGGGGATCTCCTTGCCTTAACCCCTTTTGTGGCTGGAACTCCTCTATAGGTGCACCATTGACAAGAACTGACACCATAGTTGTAGAGATACAAGCTTTCATCCACCTAATCCATTTGACACCAAATCCAAAATTTCTCACCATTGCCAACAAGAATTCCCAATTTATTGAATCATAGGCTTTCTCAAAATCCGATTTTAAGATAATGCCTTTCTTCTTAGACTTTTTCTACCAATCCACAACTTCATTTGCTATCAACACCCCATCTAAGATATATCTACCACTGACAAAAGCCGACTGCACTTTATCTATCACAGAGGGAAGGACCTTTTTTAATCTTCTAGATAGCACCTTGGCCAAAATCTTATACACCGAGGTAACCAAGCTGATGGGTCTATAGTCCCCCAAGCCTATGGGATTGTTCTTCTTGGGTATGAGCACCATGAAAGAACTGTTAACACCCCTTGCCAGCTTCCCATTTGTGTGAAACTCATACATCATCTGCAATATATCACCTTTCATTATTTCCCAACATTTTTTAATGCAAGCTAAGTTAAAACCATCTAGGCCAGGAGCCTTGTTCCCATCACAATCCTGAATAGCTGCCCAGATCTCTTCTTCAGTAAACATTGCTTCTAAACCCACTGCTACCTCCGGAGAAATTGTAACAAAAGGTCCAAAAATTTGTGGCCTAGAAGTCCAACTTTCAGCAAAATGGTTTCTGAAATGACTAAGCACTGCTTGTTTCACCTGAGTTGGATCCTCATGTCTCACTCTCTCCACTGTCACAGAATCTATCAAGTTCACTCTCTGCCTACTACGTGCCATAAGATGGAAAAATCTAGTATTTCTATCAGCACACCTAGCCCACAACAATCTAGACTTTTGATGCCATATTCTTTCCTTATCCCTACTAAGCTTCCATACCTGACTTCTAACCTCTCTCATTCTTGTTGTTTCCAGCACATCCAGAGATCTAATTTCTACCTTCAAAACCCATTCATGTAGTTCTTGTTCTACTGACCTCAACATAGTATCAATATTGCCAAACACCTCCCTATTTCATACCCTTAAGTGACCCCTTAAGGAGGATAGCTTCCTCATTAATCTGTACCCTGCCCATCCTGAAACCTGTGTGACCTCCCAAATGTGCTTGATTTCAGTCAAGAATATAGGATACGGTGTCCAAGCATTAATGAATTTGAATGGCTTAGGACCCCGATCCCTATCATCTTCCTTCAACAAAATTGGAGAATGGTCTGAAATTGTTCTAGGTAATCCCCATTGATTAAATGAAAAATTTTCTAGCCAAAGGGAGTCTAATAAAAAAACGATCTATCCTACTCCACCTATCCCCTTCCCATGCATTACACCAAGTGAATTTTCTACCTAACATAGGCAAATCAGACAGCTCTAACTGTTCCACAAACTCATTGAACTCCTTCATCCCTCTCTCTCTTCTTGAACACCTTTTCCTCTCACTCAATAATCTGATTTCATTAAAATCACCACCCACACACCATGGATTTGGAAAATGGGGTTGTAAGCACACAAGGGAATCCCATAACTTCTTCCTCCCCGACACCTCATTTGGAGCATATATATTCACAATTACACAATCAAAATGTTGAGCCAAGGTACCTGAGAGTAGAATGAAGTGCTTACTACTGCAGCAGTCTTTTAGCTCAAACACTTGTGGCCTCCAAATACACAACAACCCTCCTGCACTTCCTTCTGAATCCACCATCATATAACCCATCTCTTCAAAAGGCTACATGGATCTCACAAAATGCTCCTCCACTGAATTCCTTTTGGTTTCTTGTACAAGTAAGACATCCACTCTTCTATCCTTCACCAAATTCTTTATTTTGCCCCTCTTTTGTGACCTTCTTAGCCCTCTAACATTCCAAGATAAAATCTACATAATAAACTTATATTTTCTCCTTAGTCCCCTACTTAACAAACTGTTAAGGTCTGACTGCCCCTTCCTCACCTGTAATTCTTTGTAAATCATTTTCTTCAAGTTCCACTATCTTGTTGACTAGCTCATCCTCTTTACCTTGACATTGCAAACCCAACAGTTTTCCAATCTTCACTGTTGCTTGTGCTTCATCCATTAAATTTTTCCTCCTTTGTGTTGCATGACTCTGAGACGAAGACAAAGAAGTAGCAGCTGCAACTGCAGCTGCTACTGCTGAAGCTCTGAATAGTGTCCCTCTTTGAAAACCAAGCCTTCCAACCATGCTTCTTTGTTTGCTATGGCCGCCTACAGAGCATGAGCCTCTCTTTATCCCTATGCCCTTCTGCCGTGATAAATTACCTTTAATACCAACTGCTACCTTGTTCTTTGAGTTTTTCCCAGCCCTTTTAACCATACTAGAATGTGATAAATGGGAGACATGGGCCTCAGATGATCTGAGTTGTGTTTGGGCCACACTGTCACTCAAATCCAAGCCTAACCCAACTTGTAATCTGCTAGGCTGAGGCCCAACCTGCAAGCCTTCAAGAATTACTTCCAAATTTATATTTGTTGTGACCCCCTTCGGCCCATTCACTGCACTTACAAGTCCAGTATTGATAACAGCCCCATCCAATTTTTGAATTTTGGTCATCATTATAGCTGTGAATTGACTCCCTGATTCATACCCTCTTCTTTGGACCCAGCGCCTACCTTACCCTTTCCCATACTCTCCATAGCTTCAGTTGGTGCATACTTCCCATCATAACCCCTACGTATCACATCTGATCTACCAGCCACTGTTTCTTGAACCCTGCTAACACTACAAGAAAAAGCACTATTGGCGACTAAAAAATCACATTTCGTCGCTTAAAGTATAGCATTTGGCAACTAAAAATGCATTAGTAGCCAAAAGTAAATATTTTTGGTGACTAAAAAATTTTAGTAGCCAAAAGTATAGAATTGGCGACAAAAATTATGTTTAGTCGCCAAAAGTGATGTCCTTTTTTTTTTCTACTAAATTATTTATTTTTACGTAAATTATGTTCAATAAAAAATAATTATGTTTATATATATACTTTGATATTAATACGGGTCTAAGTACTATATAAATAATATATGTTGCATTTATAATCATATGATGTTATAGGAGTGTGTTGTATAAGGTTTATGGTGTGGGAGGTTGATGGATCGAATCTCCACAAGAGCAAGGTGTAGTTTTTTTTTTTTTCGGAATGAGCTTTTGGCGACTAAATCTGTTTGGTCGCCGATTCCTTGAGTATTGGCGACTAAAACATTAGTCGGTAAATGTATAATTTTAAAAAATATAATTGACTATTGGCGACTAAAAATTTAGTCGCCAAATGTATAATTTAAAAAATATAATTGACTATTGGCGACCAAAGTTTTGGTCGGTAAAGACTTGTTTTTTGGAGACTAAAAGTTTTTTAGTCGCCAATACCTTTCCCGACCGTTTTCCAGTGACCAAACCGGCGACTAAAAAATTTAGTCGGGGAAACTTAAAAACCGACTTTTGGCGGCTAAAAATTGACTTTTGGCGACTAAAAATTTAGTCGCCAAATGTGTTTTTTCTTGTAGTATAACCTCGTCATCTTCACCAACCACGTCATTCTCCCTTGCTACAGTACCTCTGTAATCACACCTCGCCGTCTCACCATTGCCAGACACCTGATCCACCTCTACAGTCTCACAACCTTTAGATTTCAACTCTAGTATCTCCTTCACTCGGCTTTCACTGGAAGTAGGAAACAATCACTTTGGTAGTTCTTCACAGATCCTTACTAGTATAGATTTACCTTTGAGTTCCAAAAAGACTACCGAATTAATCAGCTCCATACATCTTGTGATTACTCGTACTCTTCTATGGTGAAAATTTTGTGGGCTAGTAATATCCTCTTGGAACTGAACAACAGTCCCCCAATAGCTTCCAATGCTTCTAAAAGTCGTCACACTCCAAAGATTAATTGGTATGCCAAAGCAATTTAACTAGACACATCTCTCTTGCTCCTCAAACTGGCTCTTCCCCCACTCATCAACTAAATCACACCACTTCTTACCCCACTTGTCTATTTGTTCCTTCCCTTCCTTCATCTGTTGAACAGAATTAAAAGTTAGCACTACTATTCTTCCTCCATTGTCCCTAACAATGACATCCCTCATTCCCCTATTATGTAGTTCTGCTTTGAATACTTCCACAGCTAAGAAGCTACTCAACTTCACCACTAAACTTTCGTAAAGCCATCCGTTTCCTTCTTCATAAGCTCCGATCACCACCTTCCCACTGTCACGTACTCCTCCTCTCACTAATGCTTCTGCATATGACTGCTTAACCCCATTATCCTACCATTGTTGCCTTTGAGGCCGCTGATGCATTGCTCTGCCTTCATCCCCTTTGTTTAGCATCCCCTTCTGTCGATGACCCACAGCATGAGGTTTTTGAAACTCTGCTTTTTTAACTTTCAGCGCCTTGTTATCACACCACAAACCATTAGCCTTCTCAATCGCCATCTCTACCGCCACCTCACAATCGTATCGCATAAAACGAAATCTGGAACCTAAAACTCTTCTCTTCTTCCCTGGTATGAACGCATCCTTGACCATGCCAAACTTTCTAAAAAGACTGAATAATCCTTTAGCATCTATGGACTCAGGGATGTTGTCCACAAAAATGGTAATCACCTCTGTCTTCTTGCAAAAACCATCCTGATTTCCTACCACCCTCCTTTTGATCACAGGAATCCAACCACCATTCATTTTGACCTTTTTTGTTTGGGTCTGACTTTTCACCTAGTGTTCGGTAACATTGTCAATTTTTTATTTTCTAAAGGAGAAAATATCAAAAAATGTTGCCATTTTTTTATTAAAAAAAACAAAAAAAAACAAGAACATCAATACTATTCTAAAGGGGGAGTGGGGCGCTGAGGTTTGGTGCTAAACATTTTCATTTCCAGTTTTAAAGTTTTTTTAAAAAAAACAAAAAAATAAAAACAAAAAATAAACATTTCAAATGCAATTGGAATCCTAAGTTGCTTTTGAAACTTAAATCACTTTGAACCTTTGTGATTTTAGGTACCAAATGCGATCAGAATCCTATCGGGCTCAGCCCAGATAATCCTCTACTTGATATACAAAAACATGTCAACAAAATCAGCCGTGATAATGGCGGAAGAACTAATTGTGTGCTCGCTTCAAACCGTGGTCAAAGAAGACATCAAAATGCAAACAAAACTTTGATGAATCCAAAATGAAGAATCAAAGCCTTAGTAGAGGAAGCAGCCTCCCCAATTCATCCGTATCTCACCAGAATTGCATAGAAAAGATTATGAGATCATTTTCTTCGAGATCATATGAATATGAATATGATGTTGAAAATACAGATCTTGATTGTTGATCATATTTGATTTCAAAGTAAAGCTGTCCCCTGAACAGGTGGCTGAAATTATTCAAATTTACTGGATTAGCAACTAATAATGTTAATAATATGTAGAACACTCATGACATACATGGGAAACATCTGAATAACATAAAAAATAAAAATGAATCCATGATAGTTCAATCTATTATCTCTAAAATGATAAAGATAACACATCTATTAAGTTCCTGCTCAAAATTCTAAGTATTGAAATAGTTGGAGATAATTACAATATTCTCTTAAACACCTGAATACAAAAACTTCTCATCAAAGATGCTTAAAGTTTATAATGATTCTAATCGCCTTAAATCACTAGGTTTTTTTTTTTTTTTTCCTTCAAATTTGAGACCAGGGTGCACCAAAATATGATCATCATAATTTTAGTGACAAAATTTTAGAAGATTAGCCTGCTCTTACATATGAACCAGTTTTCAGAATGTCGATTAAAAAATGAGAGACCATCTTATTATGTTAAAAAATTGCATGAATTTGGAGAAATTTGGTGGAACACCCAACATTCACACCTCAAAAAGTAGTGCTTTCAACCATCTGCTTATTTGGTAGTTTCACCTTGATTTTTCTGAATGCAATAATACACACACACCAAAATAAAACATATATATATATATATAGGAAAAATGAGTGCACAATAACGTGGCTAAATTTGAACCTATCATTTTAAGTTTAAAATAAGAATTTTTGACAATTTACCCACTTAAAGTCGTTCAAAAGTGCAACTGATACTCTAAACTATTAATTTGATCAAATTATACCCGAAAGTTATTCATAATTGTAATTAACCTTCTAGAAGATCAATTTGAGCAAATTTATGCTAAAAGAGGATAAATTATGTTTAGTACCCCTACACTTTCACCAAAATTTTCCTTTGATCCTTTTACTTTCAATTCTAAAAATCAATCCCCTACACTTTAAATTAAGTTACAATCTCGCCATTCCGTCCATTTGTTGTTCATAAGGCTAACAAGAATTAAAAGTTGAGAGATTAAAGTGAGATTGTAGTAATAGTGTAAGAATGCTGACGAGACCCAAAAAATGTCACATATGTTTTAGATGACAAGTTCTGTCAGTTTTATTAACAGAAGATAGACGGAAAGATGATATTGCAACCCAGCCGAATGTTGATTGTTATAATTGAAAGTGAATGGACCAGAATGAGATTTTGATGAAGGTGCAGGGATGCTAAATGTAATTAACCTGCTAAAAGATATTTGAAAGTGCAATTAGTTGAGAGAAATAACATTGAAGAATTAAATTTAGGACAAGAAAAATGCTTTGGAGCTCTAATTCTTGAGCTCTAAAGCCAGCTCTAATGAGTTGGCAATGAGCCCCACCCATTGTGATGTGATGT